GGAACTCCTCACTACTGGACCAATGAATAATATCAAGGAAAATGGAGAAAAGGTCAAAGACTTCATTTTGTTCGGATCAACCAGCAATACTCATGGAAGCAGCAGCCAAAAAAAAAAAAAACAAAAAAAACAAAACGATGTGTTGTATTAGGCAAATCTACGGCACAAGACCTTTTTAAAGTGTTCAAGAGCAAAGATGTCAATTTGAGGCCCAAGGTGTGCCTGACCCAAGCCATGGTATTTTCAATAATCTCATATGCATGTGAAAGTTGGACAATAAATAAGGAGGACCATAGGAGAATTTATATATTTGAATTATGGTATTGGAGGAGAGTATTAAAAAAGAACAAACTAAATCTGTGTTGGGGAGAAGCACAGCCAGAATGCTCCTTGGAAGCCAGGATGGCCAACTTCTCATACTTTGGACATATTACCAGGAGGAACGAGTCCCTGGAGAAGGACATCATGCTTGGTATAGTGGAGGATCAGCAAAAATAATAGAAGACCCTATGAGATGGATTGGCACAGTGACAGCAGTAATGGGTTCAAGCATAGCAACAATTGTGAGGTTGGCACAGGACCAGGCAGTGTTTCGTTCTATTGTTCATAGGATTGCTATGAGTTGTTACTGACTCAAGGACACCTAACAACACCTTTAACTACTTCAGTATGAAATTGATCAAACATACAATCAAGATGTATTGATAATTACTGGTGACTGGAATGTGAAGGTTGGAAATGAAGAGGAAAGATCAGTATTTGGAAACTATGACCTTGGTGATAGAAATGATGCTGGAGATCACATGACAGAATTTTGCAAGTACAACGACTTCTCCATTGCAAATACCTTTTCTAAACAACATAAAAGATGATGATACATATGGACCTCACCACATGGAATACACAGAAATCAAATTGACTACATTTGTGGAAAAGACTGGAAAAGTTCTACATCATCAGCTGAACTTTGTCTCTCACCCAGCCAAGGGAAGACTGTGTAGACCATTAATTGATCATATGCAAGTTCAGGCTGAAGCTGAAGGAAATTAAAACAAGGACACAAGAACCAAAATAGGACTTTGAACATATCCCACTGGAATTTAGAGACCATCTCAAGAACAGATTTGCTACATTAGACACGAGGAACTTAGACCAGAAGAGTTGTGGGATGACATCAATAACATCATACAGGAAGAAAGCAAAAGGTCATTAAGAAGACAAGAAAGAAGGAAAAGACCAAAATGGATGTTTGAAGAGACTCTGATATTTGCTCTCCTGCATAGAGATGCTAAAGCAAATGAAAGAAAAGAGGAGGTAAAAAGAGCTGAATAGAAAATTTCAAAGGGCTATTGGAGAAGACAAAGTTAAGTAATATAATGAAATATCCAAAGACCTGGGTTGGAAAACCAAAGGGAAGAACACACTCAGCATTTCTCAAGCTGAAAGAAATGAAAAATTCAAGCCTCGACTTGAAATATTGAAGGATTCTACCGGCAAATGCTTTCATCTGGCTGAAAGCAGAGAATACCAGAAAGATGTTGGTCTGTGCTATATTGACTATGTGAAGGCTTTAGACTGTGTGGGTCTTGACAAGTTATGGGCAGCATTGCAGAGAATGGGTGTTTGGGACACTTAATTGTGCTCATAAGGAAACTGTATATAGATCAACAGGCAATTGTTCCAACAGAACAAGGAGACACTGCATGGTTTAAAATCAGGAAAGTGTGCATCATGAATGTATTCTCTCATCATACTTACTCAGTCTATAT